TGCTGCCAATTAATATGTAGCGTCTTATATTTGCAGCATTATTTACTGTGTGTCGTGTTTGTATGAATATGATATGTGCATCACTTTCAGCTATAACTCAAAGGCTGAAACTGCTCTATTGAAACCCAGACTGGATTTGATTTATCAGGGTTTTTCTCCCCACTTACAGTATGTAATGACCCCTGTCTTTGCTTAGGTGGTCGACATAAAAGAGAAACTGAAGCTGTCTAAGAAATGTTGGTCCAACCTGCCCGAGGCGATGTGTTCGGAGGACAGAGTGACCGCTGGAAATGCCAGCGATGAGGACTGCTGGAATGGACACACCAAGGGCAGGTGAGTGCACCAGGCCCGGGGCTAATGCAGGCTTAAACAAAAGGTTACTTCAAGTCCAAAGTCTGTTCAATTCAGTCTGATCGGACTAATCCTAGAAATAATAACCAGATTTGAACCTTATTTAAACAAAGCTGTGCAAGAGTAAGGCAGAGTTTGACTGTTATTCATCAACCAATACAATAACAAGTGACCTCTTTGGTTTGTATTCACCCTTTACTTTATATTGAAATGTAATTTTTAAAAAGCTTTCTACATTTCTGTCAGTTATATTTTGGAATTGTATGTGTTTTTATTCTTTAAAATGTGCAACTAGCATGGTGCGTCCGTCCCTGTTAATCTGATTTCATGTTTTGAGGAAAAAAGGTGCACAAGCAAAATAAATTCCCACCGCCATGGCTGAGGTCCCAGATGATTTAATCCTGTAGATTAGTGTTGGAATTGGCTGGTATTGTCTGAAAAAATAGATATGACAAAATAAATGATGCCCAGTGTTCATTAAATGTTGCATAACTCACTGAGATGCCAGAGGTTTGTTTTAGCCAGGATGACCCGGGCTTATGGAGGGAAATGCTGTGGTGCGGCAGGATTTGTGAAAGGCCCTCACATGATAGCCTGCTGCTTATTTATCAGACAGGAGCACAGGCAGCTGACGTGCTTACTCTGAAGAAATATATTACAAGTGTGTCTGAACATGATCCTCACAAGAAACATTACATGATTAGGATATATTTCACCAACACTGTTCTAACCTCTGAGAGCTGTTCTCAAATCTGTGAGAATTAGACCTCCAGTTTGAAATAATATTTATGTATCAGTACCCTTAGCCTTTCTCTAGTTCTTATTGACTTCAGACTTCTGATCAAGATAATTCTTTGCACATGAGAGAGCTCAGACTCTATAATCCTTTTGTCTAGTGTTCAGTGTACTCAAGTATAATCCATTCTTCAAAATTAGAAAACTAGTTTTGTTGTTTTGCTTTAAACAGAAAACAGGAAAGTTTATTTTTTGCATAGTTAATTCACATTAAAAAGTAAAATAGTACAAATGAAGAGATTTAACTGAAATTAAAATAATACTATCAAAATAAAAGTGTAGTGTTATTGACAGGAGAACAAGGCATTTCAATTGTTTGCCAGTAGCTTCATATCAAGCTAAAGTTAAATGTATTGAGATATTATATTTATTTGAGTGGAATTCATTCATATGTGTTTCTATTATATTTATCCCTATTTCATATTCCCTACCCAAGTTAAGAGCATTTATAAAAATCCCCAGCAGAGGTCGCCATTTCCAACCATGAAGTTATAATATTTACATGGTTTCAAATATTATCTGACCGAACTTCATTCCCATATGAAGTGTATTAAAGTTCCTATTTCAGTTTCACATGTCCTCTCAAAAGTGTATAAGCATGACTTGACCATGACTTGACCTTGACCAGATGTTCCCTCATTTGTTGTAAATGTTTCCACATCCAGCTACAAGTTTAGACCAATAACCACATTACATGTTTTCTCCAATAACCTACTATATTTGACATTTTTCTGTTTGTGTTTTTGACATTCTCTGCATTTCTTATTACATATATACTATACAACAACTTTTTGAGGGACATACTATGGCTTTTTTATGTATTTGATGTGGTTTACTTTACCATGACGTTTTTTGTAACAATTTGATTCGCTGTGACATAAAAAGTTCATATTATTGTATCTCAGTACCACAAATACTACTATACATACTTCACCACATACTATTACATCATTTTTTGTCAAATATTCATAGATTTTTGTATCTTTTTTACATGACATGCCTTATTCAATACACAAGGGAAAATGAAAGTTACACCAAACCAAAGCACTAACAGTTTTTTTCCAATATGTTTTTCAATGTTTTTGAACATTTAAAGAAATTGTCAACAAGCAAGTCTTGTGTTTTTCACTGGAAAGGAAATTATAGACCAATTAAGTTATTTTCTCTTTGACACTCACTGGATCCCTTTTCCTTTTAACAAGCCACATTATGTTTATTTTATTTGTTGCATTTTTTCCCTTAAAAGGTACTTTCCTGAAGTCCAAAAGGATGGACTCACCAACCAGGTGAATAACCCTGAGGTGGCTGTGGACATCACCCGCCCTGACACCCTAATCCGCCAGCAGATCATGGCTCTCAGGGTGATGACCAACAAGTTGAAAAATGCTTACAATGGCAATGATATCTACTTTCAAGACTCAAGTAAGCAATTTGTCCCTTTCCCATGCACACACCTGACAACATGCTACTTTTTGTATTAAGGCAGGAAATGTATTTGTTGGACCTGACTGGTCAAGTGCATACTGCAACTTGTCACTCATTTTGATTAGCTGTTAACTTTGAAATGTTACCTAACCTTGAGGTGGAAGTAATCGACAGAAGTAAAGCCACAAGAGGCACAGAGGGAGTAAATAACAGGCAGTGTGTCGAAAAACACTGTCAATGTCAAAATGGTCAAAGAAAACCTGATGAAGACAGAAGTAGAAAGATTCACAGTGTGAATAAAATACTAACATATTATCACTTGAATTTGATACAGAAAATGTAGTTTTAACCAAAACAGAAAAGCCAAAACAGTTAGCTTAAAGACACTAACATGCTGGCTGCAAAGAGCTACAAATGGGATCTGCAGAAAGTTCATACTTAGCTGGGGGTGTATTACTATGAATGACACTTCTCACATACACATAAGCCTCATCTCAATACCCCTCCTCGACTCCTCTCTTCCCCTCCTCCGGGGCTTGACCCGGAAATCGATCAAGACACGCCATTTTGAAGAACGTCCCAAGAGCTGAAATGCACACGGAGGAGTCGAGGAGGGGTATTGAGATGAGGCTATAGTCATTTGACCACTTTCAATAAAATACAAAATGTTAATTGTTACAGCCTCACGTGACTGTGAAGAAGTTCCTTTAACTCTCTATGGGGGATCTTTGTTTGCACAACTGGACCTAAAAACAAGATAGCTAGAGCATTCACTCTTATGCGTCAGAGGCTTCAATCTTTGGCGTAATCACATCGTCAGCTCGGATGAATTGTTGACTATTGTTTACATTTCCAGTGGTGTACTCAGTCTGCTTGTGTTTTGTTCTGGTGTTGCAGGTGATGAAGGCAGCGGCTCAGGCAGTGGCAGCGGCTGCACAGAAGCCTGCCCCACAGAGGCGGGCGGTGCTGCCTCAGAGGCCCCGGTGGTGGAAGCTGATCGGCGCGGGCCTGTGGACGACTCTGCCCCGCTCCGAGCTCCCTCTGTAGCGCTGCCAACCATTCTGGCCCTCTCAGCCCTGGTACTCCACCAGCTATGGAGATAATGCTGGAGGAACCGGCTAAACATGGACAGCAGGGTTTTATTTTATTTTTGCAGTTTTTGTATTCGGGCAGATTGGAGCTACAGTCATGCTGCCAGCCTCGAGGCTAGAAGAGTCTGCTCTGAAAAAGAGAGCAGCCATGCATCGTGATTTCCCACTTTCCCAAAGATCATGCAGTGCCATCCTTAGACTTGACATTTTATGGCATCACCTCTCCATCTAACACTGATGCCGACCCAACAAACTCTGCTTCAGAGATTTCTCGCACATATGGCAGGTATTAATGTAGTTCTCCATGTGGAAAAATATAACACGCACTTTGATTGTTTTGATTTTCTTTTTTACGCAAAAATTGTTTGTGCGTTTAAAAATGTTGAGAATGTGGTCACATAAGGTAACATTATATTTTAAAACCAAAACAGTGGATAATGACAGAAAATGAAGGAACATTTCTGCCTCAAATTTTTAATTGAATCCTTGTTCCATTGCCATTAAATCATGTGCCAATTATTGATTTTGAATGTTTTCATCATCATATATCCATGTTTGTTTTTAGAACAATCGTGTTGCTTAATCTTACTGAATCGTGTTGCTTAATCTTGTGTTTCACAGTCATTTCAACCATGGTGTTTGTTAGCTTAAGCGTATCATTGGTTTGTCATGGATCTGCTCTGTTCAACAGCCGCCTTGTGCTAAACTCACATTTTGTTAAAAGGGATAAGATTGACATTTTTGTATACTAATTTCCCTTGCAAAAAATTACAATCTTTAAAACATTCTGATATAATGCTGGTTTGTGTGCTTGTTTCAGGAGTTAACAGCCTGGACAGAATGCTAACAGTTACTTACAGACAGAGAAGGTCCCACCAGTGTAGAGTAATACCATCAAAGTGATGCTGGCAAACACATTTGAATCCACTCCAATATATAATGATTGATTCATAATGTCATGGTTTTCTTTTGAATTATATTATTTGAATTGTGTCTCCATAAAGGTAGTAAGCCAGTGTTAGCATTCAACAATTATTCACACCATCATTGACCGGTAAGCATACCTCTCAATATGAGGTACATAAATTATCCATTTCATGTCTTTAGATATTTAAACTATTCTAAACATACCATGCTGACATTATAAATGCCTTATAGGCACAATAATGAAAAATCATGACCTGGACATTGCCTTATAAAGGGCACACCCACTCAATACAGAATCACTATCACAATCTTGGACTGCTTGAATCTTGAAATTAACTTAAATTAACTTTTGGTAACATTTTCTTCGCCATCCTCAGAATACTCTACAAATATTTTCACAAATATTACACATTTTTAAACTTCAAGAAATGTTTAATATGAATATACAGTAACAAAAAGAAGGCTGAAACTGTTGCATATGTGATAATAGCCAAAGCGTATCCTGTAATTGATTTCACAGTTTGGATTAAAATATGCATTGTGTTTTTAGCTCTGCAAAACTGACATACTGTAAAACAGTAGTAAAAACAAGTGTTGCTATTTCTGCATATATATTAGCACAGTTCTTTAAAAGGCCAGACAATTATTAAGAAGTAGCAAACAGCACACAGTGGTTACTGGAAATGCAAAGAAAGGGCCCCTAAATACATCTGTAAAGCTCGACTGGTTGTGTCTGCAGCACAGACAGGCTGGAAGCCGACCACAGTCACCTGTGAAATGAGAATCTGTGCAGACCGGACAGGCCTGAACGCTCCGGTGCAGCTCCTCAGCAGAGCGAACTTACAGAGAATGTGAGAGGCCTGGCAGTGCTGAGGGGGAGGACAAAACCAGCCTGTTTGTTCTCTGAGAGCCAGCTCCATAACCACCAGGCCAGCTCAGCTTACATATCCCAGGAATTAACCAGTGTTCGCAGTATATCAGTGATTATTAGTTAAGCTTTTTCTTTATTGCAGTTTTATCCACATTGCAAGAACAAACATAGAAACAATTTTTCATTTAAAAGGATTCTTTATTATGGTCTTACAGGATGCCCTTTTTATGTTTTGTATCATTGAACTTTTAATGGTAATATTTTTGAAATAAAACTTTAAAAATCAATTGTCTGGTCAGAGAAATTATCTGACAAATAAAATTAGCAGGAAACACTTTAAGTCAACCTTTTTTTACAATCAATGCAATTCTGTATGAAGTTAAATACTAATGAAGGGACGTTTGATTGGAGTTTGAATCTTATTTCAAACTAAAAGGGGTGAATAACTAGTTAAAACAATATGCCTTATTGTTTTCCAGTGCAATTAAAATGATTGCATTTGTGTTTTGTTACTGTTCTTGAGAATAAATATTTATTAAAAACATTCCAATATATTTGTATTTGTAGTGGCTGTTAAAAAGACATTTTAAAATATAAATGTAAATTAGCTTTTGCTTTTAGAAGCTCACTATGCTACCAAAACAGTTAAGCAAACATTCATTTTGATTGGAATTTCTTTCTTTTTCAGATGTAATCATTAAATAATTGTTCTGATTTAAGATTTGATTTAATATTTCAAAGTAAAATGTAAGTTAATATTTAGGGTTAATATTGTCCTTTTGCATCAGAGTAGGGCATACAATACATTGGCTGCTCCATTTCTTTCAGGTATGTAAAAGCATTGAAGTGTTTTTCAGAACAATGGAGGTCTAGGCTTCCTCCTCTGTGTACTTTCTATTTGTGAAGTCTGCTTTTATCAGAGGTTCAAAGCCTCTGTTTCTTCGTTGACGCAGGTAGAGCACGAAGATAAGAAGAAGCGCCAGGAGACCGATGAAGACTCCCCCCAGAGTGGAGCCCAGCACAAACACAGCCGGCCCCCCTTCATCTGAAAAGAATAAAGCATAGGTGGAAATGGAGAACTATTTGCAGCAGAAAAACAAAACAAATGTAAATGTCAGTCCTCGTGATAAGATGTTCAAAATTGTGATTTGATGAGGCTTATTATAATTGACAACAATGACTTCTCAGCTATTAACCTATACTTCAAAACTAACTTTAAAACCCTTTGTTTGCAACAGAAATTGGCAATTTGAAAACACTCAACTACCCAACAGAAAGTGCAATGCCTTTCACAAACATGTATTCTCAATCTTAAAAAAAAATGATGGTGTTAAAGAAGGATAATTAGTATTTTGCATCATGATTGTATGCATTCACGTGACACAAGTTTCTGACCTATTTTACCAGCTATCATAAAGATTAAAAACCTATTTGTCACTTACTGTATGAGCATAAAACAATTCTGAGATTGAACTAAATAATAGCCTTAAAGTCTTATCTGAGCTCAGGTGGAATTTAAAATATTTAAAGAATCTTGATCTGATTAAGCAAAGAACAATTCAGTAAACAGTTTAATTGGTAGACTTTAGGGGTGTAAGTAAGCAGATTATGTTACTTTTGGTTGGAGCCATGCTAGCTGTTTTCCAGTATCTGCGCTAGGCTAATCCAGCCTCATATTCAACACACAAATACAGTGGAGCTGATCTTCTCATCTAACTTTGGTAAGAGAGTGAATAAGAGTATTTCCCAAAACAGTAAGACTTGCTCACCATCAAGGGCAAGAGCATAAGAATATCCCAGCTCCTCAGATGCAATATAAATCTCCTCGTTGGTGATGGGAGGAAAGAAAGGAACCATGTTGAAGTCCCTGTTGTGACCAATGGGGGCCATCTCATCGGGGTAAGTGGTGTTGGATGGAACAAACCTTCTCATCCACTCATCAAAAATGGCATCAGTGAAAGCGTGGAGCACCTGCGAAATAAACAACAAAAGAAAGTTAAACCGTGGTGATTTCAAGGAAAGACAAATCCAATGTGTCCTTTCAGAGTAAACCATGAAATCAGATTCTCACCAGAAATATGGGGTCGTTTGCTGCAGAATGAGACAAAGCGCTCGTTCCATTCAGCATGGAGTGGACCAGGTTGTGAAGGTTATTGACCGAATCATCCATTTCACCATTTGGTTTCTCGTACCCTTCCAGAGCATTTCTGTGGGTCAGAAAGCACAAAGTCTGTTGGGTTTTGCAAAAAAATAGCAGGTATACACTTAAAATGACAATTGATAATTCATTTTTCAGTTTAGTACCTAAAACTGAAGGATGAGTTGGTGAAGTATGGAGGGCTGTCGAAGTCTCTGATTCCCAGACAGCTTCTGACGTCGGTCATGGTGGGCAGAGACGTGTTTGCCCTCTCCATTATCCCTCTCTGAATGAAACCCTCACCGGTGCCATTACACAGAGTCACGAGCTGATTGTACTCATCCAAACTGGAAATTAATCAAATGAAACATTAAAATGTGATTTCCAAAACTAAAACATGCATTAATGTGCCTGATTGTTTCATCATTATCAAACCATTAATGATATGGTCTGTTTACTCTCCCATCATGCTTTTGGGCTTACTTGTTACACACCACGCCCCATCTGGAGAACCTGGACTGGTTGCTGATGAGAGACGGGTTTTCTGGGTTTCGGCCCCCCAGCAGAGAGTCGGTGCACACGTCACACTCACTTTGGCCTGTGGCAAAGTTCCAGTACGGGATCGCAAAGTTCTCATTGCCGGTTAATCTCTGCAGACAAATGTTTTGATATAAGTTTACATTATTAGTAAAAATGTTTATTAGGGTCATCAACATCAACACTTTTGACGGTCCTTTCACAAGCCCCTAACAACTTCACTTCACTTCAATTTAGATCGAGTCAAACACTTAATATCCTCTACTTTTCTCTCGCATTTTTCAAATGTTGGACCAATTGTCTGATTCTTTAAAATCTTCAACATTGACAACAAATTATAACTAACTTGGATGGACAGTATGGGACATTCAGAAACACTTGTTTTTTTATATGAATAACATATATTTAAGGCCGGTAGCCTCCTCCTCAGTCACCTGTGGAGCTGTGTATTCACCAAAGTGTTATTGAATGATAAAGTAGATAATTGTGTTGTTACTTTAACAACTTGTAGAACTTTTTTTTTTTATTAAGCTGTGGTCTGGAAACAATATCAGACACTGATATGCCAAGAATAAGTATAAGATAATAAAAATAAATTAACAATTACAAATGTCATGCGAAAGTACACATACAGTATGTAGGAATGCAAAGCTGATCACCCCAATGAGAATTATAGTTTACAGCGCCAAAAGACTATTCACACCCAGTCATGCCAGAACAACACAACTTGTTCTCCAAAGTGTACACATACCTGTAACTCTCGTTCCAAGCTGAGGAGGTGATATCTGTGCCATGTGATGAAAGCTGGTCCTTTGTGTGAGAAATCAATGGCTTTGAATGGACGACCTGGACCTGAAAGGGAAACACAGTGTGTCATGAGCTCTATGTGATCACAAGGTGACCTCATTATGTCACAAAGACATCATGCTGTTAAATATACTGTTATATGTAATATAACAAACATTTTAATCAAGCAACCAAATACTTTTGATGTATCACAAATAATTTCCATCATACAAATCCAACATTTCCAAAACTTTTCAGTGTGTTTTAAAAAATATGGATTAGGTCCAGACATCATAATAACTAATCATTTTGGAAATAGTAACAATAGTTTTAAAAGAAATGTGACCATGGTCTTTTACCAATAAGCGTGTCCCGGACAGAGTAGTAATGCTGCCAGACAAAGAAGTCGTAGATGGAGATGTTAGTAAACTGGGGCTCAGTTCCATTTGGTCCCAGGAGTCCCAACCAGTGCTGGGTGGCAATGACGTAGTCTGGTTGGGTGGTGGCCTTAGACAGCTCCAGGACATTGAGGAACTCCTGGAGCTCCTCGGGGGTCAGGGAGTGGATGTTCTTCCTCACAACAGTAGCTTTCCTTTGGTCACAGTTTGGTCCGGTCCAGCCAAATTTGCACTGACCACAGTCATAACCTGCAAAGGTACCTGCAACACACAGAGAAAACTAACATATTCAATCATGCTGATGCTGTTTTATGTTCAGAATGAGCCATTTCTGGAGTTAAATGTTTGAAAACATTGTGAATTACTCACCAGTGCATCTGCAAGTCTGATTGAAGAATTTGGTGGGCCACCTCTCTCTGTCATCAACATTTCTTAGTCTGTACGGACCTCCCCAGGGTTTGTTGTCCACTCTAATAGCCGCGCAGCTTCCTCTCCCCGACAGAGAGCCGCACACATTGGCAGGATCTGAGCCCAGAGCAGGGCAGCACAGCTTGGACACAATCCCCTCCACTGTGCAGCACACTCGTGGAAACTGAGCATCTGCAGGCTCAGGCCAGAGCAGCAAACAAAGCAGACCAAGACCCAGAGCGTTCATCATATTTCACCAGTTTGTTTCCTCCAGTCAGTCGTGAAAAATCAGTTTGTACTTCAACTTTCAGCTGGTAATAAGGCCAATTAGTTCCTCCAGAAGAGTGTGGAATCTCAGTCTGCTACGGTCCCCCGTTGTGTATCTTCAAATTAGATTCAGTGATAGTTTTAAATTCTGTGTAAACATCACTTAAAGCCGAATCATGTAGTGTTCCAGTGGGTTACATGCATATTAAGAAAGCCTGTGATTTCTGTTCTTGCTTAAATAGAGCTGAGGAGGAGATTAAGCCTTGGTCTTGTGATCATCACCTGACAGCAGAGCTGTGAGCTGTGGTCTGCACTAAGATCTGGATGAATACCAATAAACTGCCTGAAGGGACTATAACATAAAGTCACTATGTACCAAAAGACTTGAATGTTTGCAATAGTTATACGTAAAATGGCAAAAAGTGGATAAATAAGAGAGAGCAAATTAGTTTGATTTTCTGCCAACATTATTCAAATACAACAAAGAAATTACACACTAATTAATTTGTTGAGCCATTCACAGCTATGTAAATGCAATAACAGTTGGAAAAGTCCTCTTTGGGGCCAGAATAAATGGCCGGAACCCCTTCAGTAAATCAGTAATGTAAATTGTATGGCCGATTATCCTCTTAATCACACCATCAACTCAGATTGTTCATGGTATTGGGTCTGATTATCTTTTTGTTCCATTTGTCAAACGTTTCGCCCAAAGGTGTCAGCTGACACCCTGTGATGTGCATGTGAGGTGATTAAAGAGCAACTTTAGCAATTATATGGTATTCTCTTTCAAACACTATCCATATATTATATGCAGGGATGAAGAAGTACATAACAACAATACTGTACAGCTTTGATGCACTTATATCTCCCTTCAATATTTTAATCAAACTAATACTTCTATTTTACTCCTTTTTACAGACTGGGGTTTTTCAGTGAAACAAGAAATAATCTTCTACAACACAATACCTATAAGATTAAACAACTGGTTCTGATGCTTTGGCTTGTGTCCCTTTAAGACATAAGACATTTTCCCTCTAAACTTCTCAGATGTTTTTAATTTACATTCAAGTCTAAGGAGGTAATACAATCTAGATTTTAGATTTGTTCTCTATCCTGCCCCATTAACTTTCTTACAACTCCCCAGGTGTATCTGGTGATATATAAAGTCTGATGAATCAGTCTGAACAATCTTATAACGTCACATTAGATATCAGTAATTGGAAGATTTGACAGTAGAACAAGATGTACATGTTTATACTTTTGACATTTAAAGCATATATCGCTGAAACATTTGTTCCTTTTGGATTTGAATACCGGTAACGAAAGATTTAGTCTCAGGTAATAAATCAATCTTGTGTTTTTTTTAATTGTATGTCTAATCGGACTAAATAAATAATTAAAAAACACATGAATGCAGTCTATTCAAACTGAGATTATTTTTAAAATTGTTGCTCAGTGTGCGATCAAATAACATTTTGTTTCATCAATCAGCACGGACATCTATATTACAGTGCATGCCTAATGAAACCTAAACAACAGTGAGCAGACCAAAAGGCTGTCTTGCTTCTTCCTAGAACATAAAACAAAAACCTTCTGTGACAATAATTCCTAGAAGATGTGAGAATGAGTACTTCAGAGAATGACGTCAATGATGCTGAGAATTCATGAAAGGCTGCCATTTGAGCTAGTGTCGTGTTCACCGTCACCAGTACAGTTTGAAACTGAATTCAGGGAGGTGGACACGTCAAACACAACATTTGTATGGATTGTCTCTCTTGTATTATCACCAGTTTGTATTTAGTTGTTTCTTTGTGTATGTTTTTATTTTTTCTTTTATTCGTTTTACAAAATATGTTCTCTTTTGAGTAATAAAGTAAATGTTCATTTAAGAAAGAGAAACCAACCATACAAATTGTATTTATAAAAAACACAAAGGGGATTATTTTAATTTCCTCCTTTTCCTGATCTCAACCTTTACATGGAAATCCGTCACCACACACAGATTCACACTCGAGCATCCACACTTGTGATTTACAAGAAACATCTTCACTTGTTCTTAACTTTCGTGTGAGGTGATGATCTCTGTGCATGCACATGATTGTTGTCGATGCCTCTAAGTAATACTTTTCACTTGTTTCTGTGAATCAGCCTTTGTTCAGGAGCAGGAGGTCTACTCATAAAGGAAGCTTTATGAAGGGAGAAACTCCTGATGCCTTTTGAATGATGCTATGCCACTGCATAGCATCACTGGCATGTGACCTCTGTATTTCACCACACCAAAGAGAAAGCCAATGAGAGTTCTTCACACACTTTTACTTGGAACGGTTGTTATGGAACTATAAGGTGAATTAGCTGCTCATCATAACTCACCTCTTCATTTTTACACTCATAATTCAATCATATAAATGTATTGATTTTCAAGCATTGAATCAAATCATTCTGTCAACTCATATCCTATAAGAACATTATTTCACTGCAATTTCAAAGAAATACAACAGTTTAGCTTTTTTATAATAATAATCCTGGTTCTGTAAAACTATAAAGATATAAATCACATAACCTTTTCTTTTTTATGATAATGATAAAGAGTCCAAGTCTGAAACACCCTAACAGTGTGAGAGTCGGCACATGGGACAGACATAAACACGGCCTGATGAAGAAACTCATGTGTGATCATGTGAGGTTCACTGCTCTCACAGGATTAGCAAGTGGAATTCCTGGAATTAGTCATTTCAATGTTTCTATAGGAATGATTTCACATTTATGTCAGAAAAATGTCCTTAACTGTGTAACTGAGAGGAAAATGGATGCTCAGGTCAGAGGTGTGTGTGACTAAAGAATTTAACAATGACTTGTTGTTCATCAACGTCATGGCCTGTCAAGGAAACAAAAATAATATGTTGTGTGTGTAAAAAAGCCTAACCCAAATCATCTTAAAGAGAGGATAAAAGCAAAAGTTATCAAATTGACATTCATGCCTTCTGTTGACATGTCCGGGACATCTAAAAGGTAAGCAAACTAAATGAGGAGAACAACTAAAACTATCAGGAATGCCGACTCTCTGGACACTTTCAAAAAACAACTCAAACACCATCTGTTCACTCAGGCCTTTGGCCTCAGCTCAAATGCAGTACCCAGCAACCTGTTCTTTTTCAAACCTGTGTATCTGTGTGACTATTATTATTTTGTTTGTTTTGTTTGCCATTGCAAAGCGTCCTTGGGTCTCTTGAAAGGCGCTATATAAATAGAAATTATTATTATTAAAACTCATGTATCTGATTCAAGATGCATTCCTTTGAATGCAGCACTTTCATGCTAAACAGAGATTATGAATAGCAGCTGATAGTATCTGTCATTCTTGTACAACATTAGAACAGAAACATAATTGTAAATAAACATAATTTGCTGACATTAATAGGTATACTATATATATTCATAAACACTGGATTAGTAACTTTTTGTGATAAAGCATTTTAGAGGTTTTTTTCAAATAGCTTGTTATTTATGTTTACATTTTTATTCAATAGTTTTAGCCTTTACATGTTTCGTAAGGATATATAAACTCAATTCACTATATTTATTCAAAAATATTCAGAATTCCATAACACTGAAATACACCAGTCATCTCTTGCTTAAGTATCAATGTCATTTTAAATTATCTTAACAAAATGATTTTTCTTTCAGACATGTTGGTTCTTTTTGGTCTCTTTTTGTATACCCAAAACTGACTTAAAATGTGTAAATGAACAGAATCCATTATCCCTCCTGAGACACAGGATGGTGCCAGAGAGCCATGAAGGGAAAGCCTTCTCAAATAGACGAATGGCAAGATGCTTGAGTGACTAATGTATTTAATGAAAGGAGTATGGCTTTCATTATAAAACATATTTTGTATTGAAATATCTGCTAATCAGTTTATAATAATATAAGAATAACTATTAACATCGTTTTATTATTAGCAAATAATCTTTTAAGGTGACATCAAAGATATTTGTATTACAAAAGAAACAAAGGAATCGTGGAAAGAAACATTTTGTATCAGCGTTTCACTTATGAGGTATAAAACTCAATGCATCTATTCACTGTCTATTCATTTAGAGTTCCTCTTCTCAGGTCTAACATAAGGGTGATCATAATAGTGTGCTTCGAAGCAGGACAAATGAAACCATTCTGTTAATAGTCTTTCAAAGAGAGGTGATTATTCATTTGTTAAATGATATACCTGTTACCATGTGGATAAAGAAATGCTTCAATTTTCTTGACAGCTCTGTGGAAATTGCACTTAACACCAAACCCACTCTGCATACATTTTATAGGAATATCCCGTAGCGAAACAAGAGAAGGCCTTTTATATTTTTTAATTGAAGCCTCTTCAGTTACATTTACAGAGAACTGAGCTCAGTGTCCTGGAAACTGTCTAAAAGCAACCAATTCATACGTTTTTGCTGGATTTTGTTTGCTATTATTTCATTAATGATGTGTGACGTGAGCGACCACTCGACAACCCCTGGTGGGCTTTTGGTTTACTTCTCCATATTCATTATCCTTTTTGTTGTTCTTTTAATTGAGCACTAAATGTAATGTGTTTGTGAAAATGCAAATAAACTAAACTTTTATTAAAATGAAGGAGAAGGGAGTATGGGTCATGACTCATGTAGCCTATCTGCTGTTTTGGTCCAATCATTTCAAGGAAACATCATGTAAACAAAAATATAAAATGATAAAAGAATAGGCAGCAAAAAAAAGGTAGTTTTAGTTTATAGCTAGTTTAAAACATATCACAGTACATGTGATTGCTTGTAAATTACATAAAGTTCAATATACATTTACAGTACTTTATGACAGCTATTGAACTATTTTTACTTTATCAACATACCTGTAATCAACCAATGTCTGTAATTATTCCAACATTGGGAATAAAATATTTGCATTTAAAAAAATCCAGGCATGGAATTTTTTTAACAACTCTATATTGATTAAATATACTTTGTTTGATTAATCTCTTTCACAAAGTACATAATCCTCTGTTTACTGTATGTCACATTATAAAACGGTCTTTATGATTAATGTTATCGTGATTAATTGTATTAATTTTGTTTACATTTCTAGTTTTGGCAACCACAAATGTCCGAAACAACATCTTCCTATTAACATGTTGACAGTACATGTAGTAACTATGGAAGTATGGCTCCTTTACTTTCACTCTGAGTATTGGG